CGCGGCGGCGTGGACAGCGAACCCTGTTCAAAATGAACAGGAACTGCTGTTGGGCATTGTGCCCATTCTTTCCGTGCCCATTTCGGGCGTCCAGACTCGGTCGGCTCTGTCATGTGCCAGATCGGGCACCGGCGGTGGGAGAAGATATCCCCTTCTACTTCCTAATCGGGAGCCGTGACCAACTCGACCGAGGGTGTGATTCGTGGCGCGTCGCTGGTCCTGGCCCTGCACTCCTGGCATGCGTCAACCGCGCCGGCGATGACTTGGATGGCTGTACTCGGGCACTGGGCTTCTGTAAATAGTTTTTCCATCTGAGTCCGTGTAGCATGCCGCCGGCGAGCGGATCTCGCGACGCGCTTGCGATGCGTCCGCAGTTCGTAGCATGCCCAAGTTCTGAGTGGCGTCGAAACTGGCCCAGTCTCCTGGTGCATGGCCCGTCGCAGCGTCCACGGCTCGAGGTTGCGGCCGGAGACCTCTGGGAGCTCGGGGCGCTGACGGGTCAGGCGGGTGTAGTGGTTCGTCGCCGTCAGAGAGATCGTCGCGGATGGGGGCAGGCGGTGCCGGGCCGTCGATGGGGCCTCGGTCCGGGGGCGGCCCATCGGTGTTTGACTTTCCCATGATCCAAGAACTCCCGCCGCGGGATCTTGAATCTGCTGCGCTCCGGCCTCGCGGGGGAAGTTTCCGCGTTGGCCGGCGCGGCGCGCTTGGATGGCCCTGTCTGGTTCGTCGAGCCAGCGGTGCTGGCCTGGCCGCCTGGCGTGGTCAGGGCGCGCTCTATCTCGCGGCGGGTCTCGTGCATCCTGGACGCAAATTTGGTGAATCAATTCCTCGGTGGGTAGCGCGCTTCCCTGTTTTTTGACGTGGCGTGGTTGCAGGTGGCTGCGATTGCCGCGGCAGACGGGACATTCCGTCGGGCGTTTGGTGCGTTGGCTGCTTGCCTGGCAGCTGGTGCGACGGCCGCCGTCTGCGTGCCCGCGGCGCGCTTGAGGGCTCCAGTCGCCTTCGTTCGGGCACGGGGCTTGCCTGTTGGCGTAGGCGCGGCTGCTGTTGCCGGTGCTGGTGCTGGCGGTGCGTCGGCTTATTCCAAGCGTTCGAGTTCCTGGAGAGCCTCTGGGCTGATGCGGGCTCCTGTGGCCGGGTGGGGATCTGCCATGAGGGCGAGGAGGCCTTCCGCCGCGGCTGCGAGAGTGGCGACGCGTTGCGCCGCGCGCGCAGCTAAGCGCCATGGCCAGACCCGGAATCTCTTGGCGAGACGGTCGTGGCGACCGCTGCACCTCAACTTCCAGATGGGTGCTCGCTATAGCTGCGGACGGCCCCGTGGCTGGGAGACCGCGTAGCCCCTGGGCCCCCAAACAGCATTGCTCGAACGCAACCGCGCCCGCGCGGGGATGCGTGGCCGGTCGTTCCCGCGGCCGTGCCGTGCTGAGCCAAGTGGGGCTCGGTTGCTCGACAAAGGAGCACCGCCCGTAGTGGTGTACCCGTGCCGCCCCAACTTGTCCACAAGAGAAGATGCGTGGTGCATCTTCCGCGTAGCGTGTCCGCCGGGTCTTCTGCTTGAGTCGGTAGTTGAGACCACCGAGCGGCCCCGTGCTGCGGCAGGGCGGCGCCGCGAGCACCGCCAGCACATTGTTGGGCTCGAGGCGCTGGAGGACGTGGCGTTGGATATTAGGGCCGCCCAAATCGCGGCCAGTAGCCAAGTCAAAATTGTCTCCTGTGTCGAATTTTTCGCCGAATGGTGACCTGCGAGGCGCGGACTTCGCCGCCGCGCAACTCGCGCGTATCCGTGCCGGGTCCTAAGGCGCGGATCGTTGCCGGGGCGCGCGCGACGTCTGTGGCCTGGAAAGTGGGCGCTGGCAGCGCGGCGTGGAGACCAACTGCGGTCCCTGCTGCGTGCGTTTCCGCCAGATGCTCACCGACTGGGAGCTCTCCGGCGCGTTCCATGGAAGGGTATGTCCTGGAACAGTCGTTTGAGCTGCTTCTCCGTGCCAAGGCCAGAAAGGTGTCTCCGATGTCGTCGAACACGTCTACTGCTCTCTTGGGGCGTTTCACTGGCGCATGACCTCGCTCCTGGCGTGCCTTCGCGCGTTCTACCTCCTCGGTGGGTGAGGCCAGCGACGGGGCGCTTGGTTGACGTGGAAATTCTGCCTGTTCATGCGTGTGGCATGACTTCATGTGCAGTTGATCGCTGTCTCCAGCTCGAGGTGTTGACGACGGGGCTGCCTCATTTTGGGGGTTGATGTAAATTGCCCTCGCGTCTGCCAGTGAGGCCAGATAACGCGGGCAAGATATCCCAGCTGGTGTAAAGAGGGCCTTCCGGAGCAAGGCGTGGGCTAGAATCGCGGTGCTCTTGCGAGGTCGGAGATCCAGTGGTCTTCCTTGGGTGCAGTATATTTTCGTCTGGATCAGCAAATGCGGCTTCGCGTGCTTTGCAGAACTTCGTCGTCTCATGTGTCTTACCTTCTTGTGTCCAATTGGCATGTAACCTTTCCTCAAGTGTCCTATTTGAGTCCGGATTGTCGGGCTGGCGGTCTGGGTTGACGAGTGCTGTTTCTCGGCGAAGCTGCCGAAGCCTCCTCGCCAAGCAGAGCAGCCGGTGCGTTCGCCAACCCTGCAATCTTTGAGCCTACCCGGGCAGAAGACCCTGCTCGGGCCCAACCGACGTGCATGACCAATCGTGGGTGGAATTTTAACATTGCTTCTGCTTTGATTCGCTTTGCCTGGGAGGTCACTGAAGCGCTCTCCTTGCCAGTTGCCAGGAGGGCGCTCCGCCGTCCACTGCCGGGGCGCCCCGTGCACCAGGTCTTTCGGACATGTGTGCGCAACAGGCTGGCGCCGTATCGTCGTGGCGATGTGGAATGCCGTCTTGGCAGGCGACTTATTGTCTGGTTCTGGTGTGGGTCCGAGTCGGCAGAGCCTAATAATGAACAGCCTCATGCCGACTGCTGGGTTCTTGACCACTTCGATGGTGCGATTCGGCTTGTTTGCCACGTCTTCTGCGCCACAGGGTATGTCGCATCTTTGGCACGTCAGAAATAATTGATGTAGTCGCTCTCTAGCACGATTGTACTGATACCCAAGATAAACCCGACTAGGCAGCATTGTATTCCAAACCAATTGAAATTCGTGTCGAGCGACTTCACGGAGGCGAGCGGATAGGTGCGGAGAAATGATTTTGGTAGGATGCGGTGTTCGCGCCAGCCGTCCGTGCTGCCGTCCGTGCTGCTCAAGAGTTCTAGCGTATGTCGTCGCGAGCTCTATCACTAGAGCGCGTTTGGGACGCGACGTTGGTTCCCTGGCCAGGAAAGCCAGGGTGCCCCACGTGGGCGCCGCAGTTCATTGCGAGCCGAGGTTCGACCGCTGCTCGGCCTCCTGGCTGGAAGGGGCAACGGCCGGAGTCGTGTCCTCCGTCCCCGTCTCCGTCTCGTCGGCGTGGGCGTGCCACTGGACGCTGCGGTCAGGTGCACCGCTTGCGGCTTGTACGGCCCTCTCGAAGTCGTCGATGACCATCGCGGAGTGTCCACCCGCCACTCGGAGCTTTCTGCAATGGGGTGCGAACGGTCCCCCCGGGCCATTCGATCTGGATGTCGCTGCAGCCGGGCAAAATCAGCTCGTCTTGGCCCAGCAGGCCGGGCACGTCGTTGCCCGATCCCCTGACATGGTGCTGTGAAGCTGTGGATGGTAGCTTTGCCCGGTTCATCCGTGGCAGCTATGGGGGTGCTCGCCTGATGGGTGCACTGTTGGGTCCCGTCGCCAACAGTTTGGGTGCTCAGAGACTTGCTTATGAGGAGCTACTGCGGCGCGGTTCGGCGGCGCAGCTGGCGCGCAAGCTTCTCGCCCATGAGGTTGGTCCACGCTCCTGGGTCTACAAAGACCCTGGGCTCACATGCGGGGAGCTGTGTGCGACTGTGATACACCCGAATAGCGCACCCGCTTGCTGGCCCAGTGGGTGGCCACCAGAGGAGCACATCGGCTTCACCGGCTTGTGGCGAACCTTCAGGAAACGGCTGTCCCCAGGTGGGTGCAAGGGTTTTGCAGATGATCTCCCCGATCGGTGCGTTTCGTGGCGTGACCAAGATCTTTTTAGCACCGGAGGGCATGTCCTCACCAGGCGCTTCGTGGGGTGTGCTGGCGATCTGGATGTGCGTGACCTCGCGCACTGGTAGATATATGATGTTGGCGATGATGATGATGATGATGATGATGATGATGATGATGGTGATGGTGATGATGATGCTGATGCTGATGATGATCGTGCTGATGATGGCGATGGCGATGGAAATACGGATGAGAACGACGACGATGATGACATGCGGAGGGCAAAAGCAACGATGAGAGATGGGAGGGCGGGGCACTGGGAGGATGGAAGGACTGGACGCGAGGCGCTGTCTTTACAAAACGAGGACCCCACACCAAAGGGTGGTCAGGCAAAACCACAACATCGAAAGCACCCTCGCCCCTGCCAACGACCGCGGCTTCGACGCGATCGTAGCGACGGCGACACTGCCAGCACGATCGCGACGACGGCGTTCACGACGACGGCGGCGCCCGCGACGGCGACGCGGCGACGACGGTGACGGCGACGACCGCGGCGGCGACGCGACGGCGAATTACTTCGCGCTGTCCTCAAATATCTTTCGGGTTGTCCTGATTTCGTTCTGCTGGAGCGCGCGGTATGTAATGGCTCGGTGTCGCCTGTGGGTTCTGTCCGAGGGTGCGTACATTCGCTTTTCGCGCAAGCTACATCCGTGGCTCGTCTCCTGGGTCGTTGGCGTCGTCGTCCTCCTCGGCGTCCTCGTCGTCGTTGTCCTTGTCCTCGTCGTGGTCGCCGTCGTCGTCGTCGTCGTCGCCGTCGTCGTCATCGTCAACGTCCTCGTCCTCGTCGTCTCGTACTCGTCCTCGTCCACGTCGTCGTCGGTCTCGTCGTCGTCGTCGTCTCGTCGGCGTTCTCGTCCTCGTTCTCGTCGTCGCGTCGTCGTTCTCGTCGTCGTCGTCGTCCGGTCCTGGAAGTCTGGCTTCTTGACGGCGCGCTGCCGCAGACCCTCGAACGCGGCCGAGGACGCAGAGCTGGCGGCCGGCAGGATGCGCGAGGCCCACTGCTCCTCCTCGGTCGCGGGGCTCCGAGGGGCCGAGGGGTCGCGGGGGCCGAGGGGGCCGAGGGGGCCGAGGGGCCGAGGGGGTCGAGGGGGTCGAGGGGGTCGAGGGGCCGAGGGGCCGAGGGGGTCGAGGGGTCGAGGGGGTCGAGGGGGTCGAGGGGGTCGAGGGGGTCGAGGGGGTCGAGGGGCCGAGGGGCCGAGATCCTGGCGCCGCCTTCCTCTCCCAACGGGCGCCTTCGCCCCGCGTCGGGACCTGGGGCCCCCCGCGGACCCCTCCGGCTCGAGCGATGCTGCAGAAAGGTCGGGTCTGTAGGGCTCCGGGCGTGGTCCTTGACAATGCCTCCCTTTTCTCGCGACATCGGATCTTGAAAAGCGTCTCCGCATCATCATGAACGCGCTTTTTGTTGGATACTGGGCCTCCATGGGGCCCCAGTTCGGGCCCAGGGCCGTCGAGACAACGGCCCAAGAAACAGCGCCCCCTGGAATGGGTCAGAGTTGAGAGGAGAATGCACGACGTCGGAGTGCTGGGTTCGAGCATGGAGGGTCGAACTTCTTAGACCTGTTTGAAGCGTCCTCTGGCCTCCGGAAGAGCCCTCGTCGCCACGGCGGAACTCGTCCTGGTCAGGACGTGCTCTGGGACATGTCTGGGGGTTGACTTTCAGCCCCGGGCAGCCAGAAGGAAGGGGGTAGGTAGGGAGGGGCAGGAAAAGAAAGGTGCGGCACCAGCGTCGATCACAACTGGCAAGACAAATTTCATAACACGCATGCGGAACGCAACGAAGATATGAAACGTGACCCTCCACGGAATATGGCACATTCAGTGACGTGATGCGGGAAGGAGGGGGATGAAGAGTATGTGATGTCAGGCGGCGGCTGGCGTCCCTGTCAAATTTCATGATCAGCGCGCCCTGGGTGACTGTGTCGACGCCGTAGAAGCGCGTGGACATCAGCGTCGCGTCCACCATGCTCTCCTCCCTCCGCCTCCCTCCTACTTCGTGCTTCCTCCTTCCCCTCCTTCTCCCGACGGCTCTCCTCCTCCTCCTCCTCCTCCTCCTCCTTCTCCCTCTCCCTTCTCCCCCTCCCTTCTCCCTTCTCCTTTTCCATTCCCATCGTCCTCCTCCATTCTCATCCTTCATCCTCTATCCTCCTTCTCCATCCTCCTCCTCCTCACCCACCCTCCTCTTCCATCTTCCCCCTCCCACTCTCAAGCAACTTGGGCTCGAGCACCACTTTGCAGCTCGCGCCCAGCTGCCACCGCCTTCGCGTGGTGCGCAGACGCTCCGATTGGCGAACAGTGATGCGACGAAGGCCTCGGGCTGCAGGCAGCACGGACAGCTGGCCGTGGTCCAGGTGTGCCGCACGTGGCACATGCGAGTGCTGGAGCCCCGCGGCAGGGAGTGCCACGGCTGCGGGGGACAAGACAGGTCCCGCGGCAAGAAGAGCGACGACCAGCTGCGGATCCCAAACGCCCGCAGGGCGAGGGGTCCGAAGCCTGGCGCGGGGAGCCCCAGCTCCGCGTCCACGGGCATCGAGCCGCCGGCCTCCACGCTCGCGGCGGCCACGGACCCCCTCCTCGGGAAGCTGCTGGGCGACGACATCCAGAAGAAGCAGGACCAAGGCGAGCCCTCCCAGAACCCCCGACGAGGCGGTGCGCCAGGCGGCGGGAGCCTTGAGAGTGGCCTCTATGAGGCACGACCAAGCGGCCTCGGCGGTCTCTGGGCCGAAGACAACCTTGAGCATGCCGAGCCCAAGGAACGGGCCGCAGCGCTAGAACTTGCCCAGGCCGACGAGGCCATGAGCAAGGCGGCGCGTGTGCTAGCTCAGCAGATGGGCGTGATCGGCAGCGACCAGCAGAGGAAGCAACTTGGTCACGTGTCTGTAATTCGCGTGCTCGCCACAGCATCCACAACAAACTAAGACTTTTGTCCCACAAACCGCGCCTGTGACGATGCATGCATCTGTTCACATGCTGTACCACTTGTACGCGTCCAGCATGCGTAAATGTAGAACTAGAGTCTTGCAACTCGTATACCACCTCCGCCTGTATGCTCATTCGTCCCTCCCTCCGCTCTCACCCTCCCTCTTCCTCCCCCTTGTGCTGCTCCTCCTTCTATTCCATCCCGTCTCTGATGCGCCCTTGTTCTCTTCTTCTTCCTCCTCCTCCTCCTCCTCGTCCTGCTATGTGCGACCTTCTGCGAGACTGCCTGCACAGACTCCTCCCTCCGTGCTCCTCCTCCTTTCTGCAAGCTGATGCTGCATCCTCCCCCTCCTCCCTCCGCGCTCCTGCTGCATATGTATCGCAAACATAACAGCATCTCAGCACCATCAGAGCATGCGCAGCATGAGGGAGAAACGGCAACAATGACCCTTTTGTTCCTCCTCGTCCTCCTCCTCCTCTTCCTCCTGCCTTTCTGCCTTTCCCGCCACGGCGGCGTCTCCCTCCTCCTCCTCCTCGCTACTTACGAATGCTACTCTCCTCTATCTCCTGACCGTGCCGGAAGCTCCTCCACCATTCTTCGCGTCGTGTATTTGGCTCTTACAGGGCCAGCTCTTGAGCCGACCCTGAGCTCGGCGGCTTTCAGCACACTGGAGTTCGACGCGGCAGGCGTTTCCCACCTTTCCGATCACGGCGCGGCGGGCGCCTGACAGCCTTGTCGCATCAGGACAAACATACCAGGAGCCTCTCGTCAGGGTGGCCCCAGGCTTCTACACCTCCTCCCTCCATGCTCCTCCTCCCTCCTCTCTCGTCCCTCCTCCCCCGTCTGCGACCCTCCTGCATCCTCCTCACGCTTTCTCCAGCAAGGCAATCTGTATGCTCCTCCTTTCAACTCTTTCAACGCATCCTGGAATCATGGGTGCCTGCGAGCCGGCCAACGAGGCTCAAGCGGACACCGAAAGAGGGAGAGAGAGAGAGAGAGAACGGGGTGGGAAGATGCGAGGAAAGAGGACGAGTGGGAGACCTTCCCATCTCAGCTCCGCTCTCTCGTCCCTCCTCCCCTTTGCCTGCGACCCTCCTGCGGCCCTCCTCCCGCGCGCTCCAGCAGCGCCATGTCCCCGAGCTTCCCGTCCGACGCCGCGCTCCGCAGGGCCCCGCAGAAGAGTGTCGCGCCTCCGGGCCCCCGGGCGGCCCGCCCAGGCCGCGGGAGGGAAGGCTGTCGAGGGCCACGCCCGTACAGCCAAGACGCTGAAATGAGGAACAGTTTGGATTCGGAAGGGGCTCGATGTTCCTCGCGTCCTTCCGTGGTCGTTCCTCTAGCCCTTCTCGTGCACCCAGGCTATTTTGAAGCCACAGAGGGGCTTCGTTCCTCATCTGGCGTTCCTTATTTCGGCGGCCCAACTGTATAGTAAGGACGCGCCTCGAAGGGAGGCCTTGGAAGGCCGTCTCGAAGCTTTGTCGAGCGGGCCGCGGCCAACAGAAGTGGCCAAGGATGGGCCGAGGAGGGACGGATGCAAGGGTACCCTTGGGAAGGTTGCCCATCCTCACTGTGCGGGTTGACCGCGAGCAAGTTTTAGGCTAAGAAATTAGACTTCACCCTACGCTTCCTCTTGAACAGTTACCGTTGTCCAGGTCCAGATGCACGAGCACTCTACGCAGAACAGAAGCTCCAAGAGCACGCCCATGGTCCAGCCCAGATTTCTGATTCTCTGAAGCGGGAGCTGAAGTGAATATACGAAAGTTGATGTTTTTTTCTCCAGTTTTTTGATGGATGTAAACGACTTCTGCTGTTCCTCGGCCCGCATGGGCGCTTCCACGCCTTCTGCAAGCGTCCCTCTGGGTGTCTCTGGATCTGCCCAGGCCTCTCTGGTGGTACCTCGATTTGTCTCGATTTGTCGAACTTGGTCCCCGCAAGTCGATCGGAGAGGAGTCGCCAAGCCCTCTTGAAGTGGCCCAGGGACGCACACACACACACACATCGGCAGACACACATATCCCAGGATCCCCCGTCTTTTCCTACATTCTCTGGACCTTCGTCGCCCCCCTCCACGTCCCATACACTCCATGCCTTCAGCGTGATCGACGATTTTTTGTTTATATGTGTGTATGTGTGTATGTCTGTATATATATATATATGTATGCATGTATGTATGTATGTATGTATGTATGTATGTATGTATGTATGTATGTATGTATGTATATGTATGTATGTATGTATGTATGTATGTGTGTATATATGTATGTATGTATGTATGTATGTGTGTGTATGTATGTATGTATGTATGCATATATGTATGTATGTATGTATGTATGTATGTATGTGTGTATGTATGTGCGCATGCATGTATGTATGTATATGTGTATACATGTATGTTTGTATGTATGTATGCATGTATGTATGTATGTATGTATATATCTATGTATGTAAATATGTATGTATATATGTATGTATGTATGTATGTATGTATGTATGTATGTATGTATGTATATATCTATGTATGTATGGATGTATGTATGGATGGATGTATGTATGTATGTATGTATGTATGTATGTATGTATATATGCATGCATGTATGTATGTATGTATATATGCATGCATGTATGTATGTATGTATGTATGTATGCATGTGTGTATGTATGTATGTATGTATGCATGTATGTATGTATGTATGTATGTATGTATGTATGTATGTATGTATGTATGTATGTATGTATGTGTATATGTGTATATATATATATATTTATGAGAAAAATAAGCACGAATAAACAACAAGTGCATACACATAAGCTTGTGGGACGTGCGAAGCACAACACTGAAGTATGTCCGCGCCACCGCGGGCCACCTGCGTGAATGTGCACGGCCTCGTGCTGGCCATGAACCTAAGGAGCGGTCGAGCCCCTGGTTCCCTTTTAGAATCTAAATCTCAGGAAATCTGAATGTAACGAAATCTCAATCTATGGAAATCTAACGAAATCTATCTGACGAGCGAAATCTATCTAACGAAATCTAAATCGATCGAAATCTAACGAGGAACGATCGATTTAAATCTAACGAAGTCTAAGGTTTTTTTTTCTTGTCCCCTCCGCCCTCTGCAGGGCGAGGGTGTGGAGCCCAGCCCTCCCTGCGCCGACGACGACGGCGGCGCCCAGGGCGGGCCCCCAGGGGAGCCTTGGCTGAACGGGCAGTCCGCGTCCCAGGGGCACGCGGCGTGGAGCTTCACCTTGACCTCCTCCTTCGGGGGACGGGAGGGGGATGAGGAGGAGGAGGAGGGGGAGGGGGAGGAGGGCAAGCTAGGTGCGCTCGCGTCATATCTGGCTTCCTACCCCTCCCTCCCATCCCTCACCATGGCGCAGATCCCCTCTCTACTCGCACAGTCGGATGTCGAGCAGGGCAATGAGCCCGAAAGGGTACGCGATGCATTGTAGAGCACGGCGTGGCATGGCGTAGAAGAGCACCGCGAAGCGTAGTATGAACCTAACGTTGCATTGCATGCCGTGGCACGGCACGGGAAATGACGCCAGCGCTGCAGCGGGAGCACGAGTCGAAACGAGCGGAAGCGCGGGAATGAGGCCCGCGCTGCAGCGGGAGCACGATTCGGAACGAGCGGAAGCACGCCGGAATCGGCCCGGGAGGCTTCCCGGGCGCCAGAAGCAGAAATTCAGCATTTTCAAAAAAAAAAATTGTATTGGAATGGCCTTTTTTCGGCGTCGCCTCGGAACTCGATTTTCCGGCGCCGGCCGGAACCGGCTCCGGACCGGGCCTGATGGGCGCCGGCCAGGGCGCCGGCTCGGGCGTCCGGCCCGGGCGCCGGCTCGGGCGCCGGCCCGGGCGTCGGAATCGGCCGAGGAGGCCTCCCCGGGTGCCAGAAGCAGAAATTCAACATTTTCAAAAGAAAAATGTGGATTGAAATGTCCTTTTTTCGGCGCCGCCTCGGAACTCGATTTTCCGGCGCCGGCCAGAACGGGCTCCAGACCCGGCCCGAGTGCCGGCCCGGGCGCCGGCTCGGGCGTGCAGGCGCCGGCGGAAATGAGGCCAGCGCTGCAGCGGGAGCACGATTCGGAACGAGCGGGGCCCGAAAATGAGGCCGGCGCCTCAACGAGAGCAGCACTTTGGAAACAAATGCAGGCGAAAACCCAACTCTGGGGAAACCTGTTAAAAAACAGTACGCGGGGGGGGGCGGCTACTCCCATTCCGTCATCAGGGGAAGAGGGAGAGTAGTATTCATATTGAGTAATTGTGGAGGGGGAGGAGGAGGAGGAGAAGGAGGAGGAGGAGGAGGATGAGGAGGAGGAGGTGGAGGAGGAGGAGGAGGAGGAGGAGGAGGAGGAGGAGGAGTGGAGGGGTTGCAATCAAAACTGATAGCAAAGGTGCACGACAAAGACGCAGGGGTCTTGGAAGGCCGTGTCGACACTCTTCTGGCGGGGCGCGGCGAACGAACGTGGCCAAGGATGGGCCGACGGGAAATGATGCAATGGACACCTTGGGAGGAGGGGAGGGGAGGGGAGGGGAGGGGAGGGGAGGGGAGGGGAGGGGGGAGGGGGGGGGAGGGGAGGGGAGGACAAACAGACAAGCAGACAGGCCCGCATCCCGGCCCCGGAGGGCGGTCCTCGAAGAGGGCAAGAGGCAGGAGGCGAGGGGAGGAGAGACTGGACGCCCGACTTGGGTACGGGAACAATGGGTACACCATTCAACAGCAAATGTTGTCCAACACCGGCAGCGGCCTCAGCGGGGCAAGCGGCCTTCTATACCAAATGGACAGCGTCCGCGGCGGCGCGGATAGCGAGTCCTCTTCAGAATGAGCAGGAACTGCTCTTGGGCATCGTGCCCATTCTTGCTGTATCCATTCTTGGCGGCGCGCAGGGGGGGGTAGGGGCAGGGGGGAGGGTTCTCGGAAGAAGGCTGCTTCTCAGAACGCGCGGGCTGTAGATGTAAGGCCCGCGCCTTCTGAGAAGCGGCCTCCTTCTAAGAGGTCTGTCCCACTACCCCCCCCCTGCGCGCGGCCGACACGCGATGCTCCCATGCATTGCCTCCTCCTCCTCCTCCTCCTCCTCCTCCTCCTCCTCCTCCTCCCCTCCCCCTCCTCCTCCTCCTCCTCCTCCTCCTCCTCCTCCGCCTCCTCCTCCTCCTCCTCCTCCTCCTCCTCCTCCTCCTCCTATGCTCCCATGCATTGCCACCGAATTTTTCGCCCCGAGAGAAGAGGGGCCCTCGTTCCACACCCAGCGTAACACCCATTCTTTCCTAGCAACCCGCTTCGACCGTCCCGATCTGAGCCTCTATATTTCGAGTACGGGATCGACTACAAAATAGAGTTACCTCAAAATTGATTGTCTCGTCGAATCCATGAATCAAGCGTCGAATTTTGGTTCTAGGAACATGATACGAACGTTTTTTCTAGCTTCGGCGAGAAAATGAATTCTGGGGTACATCAATTCTGTAATCGATCCCCTACTCGAGTATTCCCTATCCCTCCCTCTCCCTCGACCCCCGCCTCCATCCTCCCTGCCCCTCCTGTTGGGCATCGTACCAATTCTCTCCGTGCCCATTTCCTTTGCTCCGAGGGAGGATCGGCGGTGAGCGAGGGGGGGACATGAGAAGCAGAAGGCCTTCTCAGAAGGCGGCGGTACTTCTGAGAGGCCCTCGCGCCTTCTGAGAAGCTTCCTGCGCCCTCGGGGAAGGCTTGGGGCTCTTCTCGGGAGGCTGGGGGACTTCCGAGCTCTCTGAGAAGGCCCGCCCCTTCTCACTTCCTCCTAAGCTCGCCGCCAAGTGAGCGTTTTCTTATTCGGCGTTTCGACATGGGGCGGAAGGGGGAGGGGAGGGGATGGGTCTGGCTCCGGCCATCTGCTGAATGCGACTGTTTGCAGCAGTGCGTCCTATGGGGGAGACTCCACCTGCTCGATACAGGCGCCCAAAAACGGTCAAGATCTACTCCATGGGGGGGATGCGGTGCAAAAGGCCCGCGCCGATCGGCAAGACAATGAACAAGAGAAAACGATCACCAAGAGAGCATCGTGAAATTGTGGAGGAGGCGGAGGAGGAGGAGGTGAAGGAGGAGGAGGGGGAGGGGGAGGAGGAGGAGGAGGAGGAGGAGGAGGAGGAGGAGGAGGAGGAGGAGGAGGCGGCGGAGAAGGAGGAGTTGGAGCAGGGGTCGGGCCTCCACCCTGACGTCCGCCGACGTATTTTCGTTTCCGCCCGCGGCCCCAGAGACAAAGGCCTCGACCGCTTCTCTGGGGGTGGTCTCTTCGTCTCGGGTCGACTGTGGATAATCACCCTGGGGCCACTAACGGGTTCCAAAGGCCGACGTCGAGCGAAAACGACGGGATTGAAGAAATCATGCTGCCGGATATCTGGGCACGCTTCCTCCCCAGGCTCGCCGCCGAGAGGAACCTTCGGGGGTTCCAGGGTGTGGCCAGAGGCTCGTGACGTCGAGGACGGTGGGGGGGGGCATGAGGACGGGGGAGAGGAGCGGAAGGAGGGACAAGGAAGGGGAGAAGGATAGGGGTGGTGATGATGACGACGACGACGCGATGACGATGACGATGGTGATGATGACGATGACGATGACGATGACGATGACGATGGTGATGATGATGCTGATGACAATGATGCTGTTGCTGATGATGATGAGGAGGAGGAGGAGAAGGAGAAGGATACCGAACATGAGACGGAGGAGGAGGAGGATGAGGAGGAGGAGGACGAGGATGAGGATGAGAGACACGCGGAGGAAGATGTGCTGGAGGAACACGGTGCGTAACAATCCGCCACCGTGCCTGCGGCACGTTGAGGCGTGGAAGGCTGCCAAGGGCTGCCTGACAAGGCTTCTGTAGTTTTCTAAGGGACCCCCCCGCACCCCCGGTCACACTCACCCGACTGCATCGCCCCTGTTACCGGGGGTCCCTGGGCGGCCATGACGACTCCCTGGTGCTGTCAAGGCTTCCATGACGGCCCAGGAGGCCCCCAAGACGGTCCAAGAGGGCCCAGAGTTGCCGAACGATCGCTCGAAGACGCCCAAGATAGCCTCAAGATGGCCGAAGAGGCCTCCAAGACGCCTTAAGAGGCCTCCAAGAGGCCTCCCAAGAGGGCCTCAAGAGGCAACAATCATGGATTTTCCGTATGACTTTGTAGGATTTTGGCGTTCCCGCCTTTTCGGCTGTCCAACGCTCCGAGACGGCCCAAGAGGCCCCCAAACCGCCCAAGAGGCCTCCAAGAGAGCCCCAAGACGTCTCCCACGAGATCCCAACGAACATCCAACAGGCTTCATACCCACAGTCCAAGCACGGTGGCGGGACTTGCCATAGGCAACTGAATACACTTTGAGGATGGGAGGCGGAGATTGGGGACACGAGGAGGGAGGAAAAGCAGGAGGATCGGTGCGGGGCGGGAGGAACAGAAGAGGATGAGGATGAAGCTGAGGCTGAGGCTGATGATGATTTTGATGATGATGAGGATGAGGATTATGATGATGATGCTGATGATGATGAGGTGGTGGATGATGATGATGATAATGATAATGCTGATGATGCTGATGATGATAGTGATGCTGATAAGGATGATGATGATGCTGATGCTGCTGCTGACGCTGATCATGCTGATGATGATGCTGATGCTGCTGATGCTGATGATGATGACGACAATGATGATGCTGCTGCTGATGATGCTGATGATCGTGATTCTGAGGATGCTGCTGCTGATGATGATGATGCTGATGATGATGATGATGATGTGGACGACTCCGTGGCCAGACGATTCTTTTTGTGCAAGAGGGCGCCAGGCGAGGACTCGAAATCTGATGCCGCAGGGGCCAGCACCAGGCCAAAGAAAAACATTCTTGAGTTGGGAGAAAGGGGGGAGGGAGAGACTTGAGAATGGAAGCGCGGCCCGAAAGAGAGCCACAAATAGCAGCGGGCAGCATAATGTGGACGACTCCGTGGCCAGACGATTCTTTTTGTGCAAGAGGGCGCCGGGCGAGGACTCGAAATCTGATGCCGCAGGGGCCAGCGCCAGGTAATATGGCTAGTCCACGACACTGGCTGAAAGCCGCAATACTTGAATGAGAACTCACACACATCTCGATAGTCGGGAGACGTATCGAAGGCTATCTACGCTGTTGGCCATCATTTCACATGCGAATCGTAGGATACAGGCAGGTGGGTGGCGCGCAGCGCTGCGCATCTGACGGTCTAACGATGGGATGCCTAACTCGCCGAGGTGTCGCTTCTGAGTGCGACGGCACGG